AAGATGAAAAGAAAAAATACCATCTAAACTTTTCTAAAGACAGTAAGTTCCCCTCAGACATGCATTCATACAAACTCCTACCCCTAAATGAATCGCGATTTGTTTAGCATCTCAACCGATTTGAATCGTCACATATTAAAATCGATTTTCAACCGGCTCGCGGTTAATCGTTACATCCCTATTAAAGAATAAAGCTGAATATGGTCCGAGCTTCTCACCTTTCTCTCTCTGAGTAGCTGCACTCATTGTCTGTGTGTGTAAAACTAAACACCTGATAAGATTCAGGGCCGAGCCAGCCAACCTTGAAGTAGATACAGGTGCATCTCAATAAATTAGAATGTCGTGGAAAAGTTCATTTATTTCAGTAATTCAACTCAAATTGTGAAACTTGTGTATTAAATAAATTAAATGCACACAGACTGAAGTAGTTTAAGTCTTTGGTTCTTTTAATTGTGATGATTTTGGCTCACATTTAACAAAAACCCACCAATTCACTATCTCAACAAATTAGAATATGGTGACATGCCAATCAGGGCCACTGTCAAAGAAACCTGGGCTTCCATACCACCTCAGCAGTGCCACAAACTGATCACCTCCATGCCACGCCGAATTGAGGCAGTAATTAAAGCAAAAGGAGCCCCTACCAAGTATTGAGTACATGTACAGTAAATGAACATACTTTCCAGAAGGCCAACAATTCACTAAAAAATTTTTTTTTATTGGTCTTAAGGCCGGTTCACACCAAGCACGATAACTATAAAGATAATGATATAGTTCTAAAAATCGTTCTCAATATTAAAGAATTGCATAGTTCACACCACAACTATAACGATAACGATACAGAGGAACGATATCGTTGTGATCACTTTCAAAGCTTTCATTTTCATTTTCCAGCTGATGAACGATAAAACACTGACAGCCAATCAGAATCCATCCTGCTGTAACGAGCTCAAGAATTTAAAGCAGCAGACGCGCGTGCGCTTAGAATAAACAGACGATATCGTTCGCTGGTGTGGACGCTAATATCGTTATCTTTATAGTTATCGTTCTTGGTGTGAACGTGGCTTTATGAAGTATTCTAATTTGTTGAGATAGTGAATTGGTGCAAACTATTTTCTTCAGTAAATTTTTCTTCAATTGACTTCATCTCTGACTCCTGGTCTTCATTCATCATACCTGGTCCTTGGGTTTAACTGTACATTTCCCATACAGGTGTAATGCTAAATTTCTCCAAATCTGTTCCCATGAAGAAAAAACTCATCTTCATTTTGGATGGCCTGAGAGTAATTATCAGCAAATTTTCGTTTTTGGTTGAACTGTTCCTTTAAAATAAAATTCCATTCCAGAACACTATTCCATTCCAGGAATTATAAAGCAAAAAGCAGCTAAACAGATTTTGTAAATCAATTCAAGCTATTTCAAACATGTGTTACCTGAAAATCCTGCATAAATGAGAAAGAGGACACTGGTTTTGAGAGGTCATGCAGACTCAGCGCTGGAGGTCTTGTTCTGTTTTCACCTCTGAGTTTGGTGGAAGAAACATCTGGGGTCTCATTAGCAGCAAAAAGATTCTGAAGGATCGAGTATCATAAAATCAGAATCAAATCTTTTATTCACCAATAAGTGTAAAGTTGAATTTGAAATATAACTGCTCAACCGAAAAACAAGGTTACAACAAATACAAAGGAACATGAACACGTTACAATATAGATATAATCAACATGCAATATATACAAACAGAAATGCAAAACAATACACTTTCAAAGTGAAATTAGTATTCAATGTTTAAAGAGAAAATGTGAGATTTACAATAAAAGTGGGAGGGGGGGGGGGCATTACTTTTTAGTTATTTTAAGGATTATTTTTAGAAGATTAGATTTCAATCAGAGTTCTAGCCACTAACTTACTCATCTTTATTACATCTATTTTCCATATTTTAGGACCATCCTAAGTATGAACTAACACAAATGGAATGGAATTATACAGTGACTAAAAATGTCTACCAAATAAATACCATCATATTATTTATAAAATACTAAATACTATCATACTGTACATAAAACAATTAAAAAACAACCAACCTTTTTTACAGGAGTGCTGTGCCAGGGCTCCACTGGAGATCCTGTAAATGAATAAATTAATGCAACAAATAATAATCGTGTTTTAAATTTGAGGAGTGTCTAATATTTATTCATATTTGCATGATGTTCATCACCTTTTGATATCAAAAAACTTCCAGGAGTTTTAGAGTTCCTTCTTTCCTTGAACCCATCCATCTCATCTCACTAATGTCTGGACTAGCAGACAAGATTTCATATTACATCTAACTTCATTTGAAATGGACCAAACAGCAGCGTGAACATCATAGCGATGCACAATATCAATATCTTGTTCTCGGTGCCTGATTATGATTGTTTTCAAAGATGCATTATTTAAGTGTAAACAAGACACTCGGGGTAAAAAAAAAACCTAACAACAATAAATGCAATATAAACACCCTAACTCCTAATCCAAATTGCGATTAGTTTAAACAAATTTAAATTAACATTTTTACAAGCGAGTGATTATTTTCGGAATTCTCACAAACGGCATGTTGTGATCCGCGCTTAACGGGGCTGTCCAACGCGATGCCTGGTTTAAAAGATTCGTTCAAAATCACCTTATTCATACTAGTTTCATTAAAATGCATCAAATGTTTTATATAAAAACCATCTTACATAAATTCAAATTGTTCATTCAATATTACTTTAAAATCTTTCATCGCGAAGTACGTACGTAATACGGCAGCGGCGTAAACACCGTCGAGAGGCGTTGTCAGGACCCAAAGCCAAATCAGGCAGTGAATGTGTGCTGACTGCCGAGCAATAGAGGAACTCTTTCACCCTTTAACGAACATCCGCACGAGTTAATGTAATAATGATCAAGGTGTTACTCAAAAGCAAGTTGTACTGAGATTATATCGACGGGGTATGTATGAGCTTGAGCGCGTGGCTGCTGCAGGAGAGCTGTGATTAGCAGTGCTGGCTAATAAATGGGTGCTCACTGGTGTGGATGCATGATCATTGTGCGGAGGCTCCTCGATTCAAGTCACTGTCAGGGACTCTAAAAGACTTTTAAATTATATTTGAATGCATTTATCAGTGTAATAAGAAGAACCTTTTTTCAGATCCATTGCATGTTATCTTAGTATCTCTAAAACACCACTAGGGTGTTGCTGGCACTTGATAATTTATGTGCTTACATGCATTTAAATGCATCTTTTGTGATTTTATGAACCAAAACAGCGTTTTGAGAGGCTAATTAATTTAAAACGATGATTAAAAATGTCCCTAAGGTTGATAAATAGCGCACAAGGGTTATGTGGAAGGTCTCTCCTTTTGTAATTAGATGGATAGATCTTTGGTTATGACATTTAACTTTCAATCCAACAATTTATGCCTGATGTGTGGTTAGCTATTATAGGTTTTGAGTATAACCATTTTCAGACCGACCATATTTCTGTATGCTTTATAAAGGCACCATATTTGTTTTGCAATACTCTAGGTTTGTGTGATTAATCTGTGTTGTAAATGCACATTTTTTTCTTGCATGATAGCTTAGAATTCAAGTGTTGGTCTCTGTGCATCAGCTGGTTGTGTTATGTTGTCAGTCTAAAATAAGCCTTCTGTATGATTTGTGTAGATTCGTGTAATATGGCTACTACTGAGAATGCAGAGTTGGGTTCACCAGAAAATAAAGTGGATCGTGCCGCCCCATTTGCAAAATACCCACTAAAAGTTCTCTATTGTGGAGGTGAGAAAATACCACAACAACAAAAAATCTCAATGCTAACTGTAATATATCATTTAAAATGTAAATGAAATGTTATTGTCTTAATGGTTATTTTTGTTCACAGTCGTCATGTAAGACTAACATTTCTGTCTTCTTTTACTTGCAGTGTGTTCTCTGCCAGCAGAGGCGAGTACATCACATTAAACATATTAAATGAATGGTTCACCCAAAAATGAAAATTAGATGAAAATGTACTAACCCTCAGGCCATCCAAGATGTAGATGAGTTTGTTTCTTTTCTAAATTTAGCAGTACATCACTTGCTCACCAATGGATCCTCTGCAGTGAGGTTAGGGTTAGCGTCCAAACAGCTGATAAAAACACCACAATAATTCACAAGTAATCCACACCAGTTAATGTCTTGAGAAGTGAAAAGCTGTGTTTGTAATAAACAGAGCCATCATTAAGGCGTTTTTAACTTCAAACCTTTGCTTCAGGCTAAAATGCAAGTCCATAATCCATAATAATGCTTCCTCCATTGGAAAAAGTCATCTTGTCTGAATCAGGAGAGAAATATGCACAGATCAAGCACCGTTTACAATCAAAAACAGTCCTAAATAATACATGTCAATGGATTTTGATGTAAGAGGGGCAGTGGATGGACTTTTTCCACTTTCTTCACAATTTCCTGCAAATGTTTTTTTCTGGGTGATGTATTCCTTAAATGATTACATATTCTGTTGGTAGAAAGTGAATAAATATGAATTCAAATGTTTCTGCTAGTACTGCGAGTACATGCCTGAGCCGGCCAAATGCAAACAGTGGCTTGAGAAGAATTTTCCTGATGTGTTTGCTAAACTTACTCTTGGTAAGTCAATTTTCTTTCATAGCAACTTTGAAGATGTCAATATCTCATATAAAGTCACGAAAAGTGCTTTTTCTTGCCATTTTAGCTTGCTTACCATTTTATTTGTGCCTCCATAGCTTTGGCTCTTGTAGGATTGTTTGATCTCTGAGTGTCTTTTCATATCTGACACTGAGACAAGCAGAATATTTGGTCTGCACCATTAGGACATGCACTGCTGTATCGGTTTGTCAGTAGTTTGCTCACTGATATGACTGCTGTTGTGTAAGTACAGCACCCAAGCAGGAAACTACTGGAGGAGGAGGTGGAGGTGGTGGAGGAGGAGGAGGAGGAGGAGGGGAGGGGCCCCCTGCAGGAGAGGAAGAGGAGAAGAAGAAACAGAAGAGAGGTTAAACATTTTTCTTTTATATGTAACATCTATAAACAGAAACGTTTTGGAACGGTGGTGCAGTAGTTGTGCATGTACTGCCTTCCACACCACATCCAAAACTTTTCCTGAATGTCTTAAAGGGAAAGTTCACTGATTTTCAACCAGCTTTGCGTTGTTACAATGTCGGTGGTATAAACAAATTAACAATGTGAACTATTTTTTTCATGTTACCTGCACCAAGATATCCATCCAGCAATCTTTTGACAGTGCCAGGGCTTTTGTGAAAACTACAGATAATACTTCCCCTTTTTTTTTTTAAATCTCCGCTCATGGTTAATCTGATCAAGCCCATTGCATTATGGAAGTTAAAGTTTTCCTACTATTTTCATACTTTCATTCATACTTTTTTCTGTCTTTTCTATAGCATCGTTTCTTTGTGTTTCTACTGCATAGACAACTTTTATTAAAACCTCATCTTGCAGTAAATCAGTAAATTATCCCTTTAACTGTCCAATTAAAACATTACAATTAATTTACAGCTAAAGAGAAGTGTATTTTGGTTTTATGTCTTTGATTATTAATATGATCTTCGTGTACATGATACTTGTAATTTCTTGAATTTTTATGTCAAGATTAATATCGGTGTTATTTTAGTATTATTTATATATTAATATATTATTTATTAATATTTTCAATTAGCCTTTATTTTTATATTTTCAGATTCAGTTTTATTAATTTTCTGCTTGTCATTTTATTAGTTCCTTTTTTTATGTAGTTTTAATATATTTTTTCATAAATTTTAGTATTTCAACCAGATAATTGGCATGGCAACTTTTTAAATGTTCATTTTTAAAAAAAAAGTTTTTCATCAAATATTTATATTTCCTTTTTTTTTAATTACTGAAAATGATTTTTAGTAGCTTTAAGTTTGTTACCAACAAACAACACTTATCTACTTTTTGAGTTTGTCTGCCTATAAACTTATGATAGAAAATAATTTTCCCCCTTTGCAGGTGGAAGAGGTCAAATCAAACAGAAAAAGAAGACCGTCCCGCAAAAAGTCACAATAGCAAAAATCCCACGAGCTAAAAAGAAATATGTCACAAGGGTGTGTGGCCTGGCCACTTTCGGTAAGGCTGTGATTGTAGTTACAAGACTTCTGTATTTGATCTGTATTTTTACCCTGTGATAACTTTGCTGTCATTTTGTGGTCCACATCAGACATCGATCTCAAAGAGGCTCAGAGGTTCTTTGCTCAGAAATTCTCCTGCGGTGTCTCAGTGACAGCAGAAGACGAAATCATCATTCAGGGAGATTTTACAGATGACATCATGGACGTCATCCAGGAAAAGTGGCCTGAGGTAAGCAAACATCCCAGATCCATCTGCAAAACCCAACCAGAAGAACCTTTTTTGAAGCCGTTTTTGACATTCTCTAACCCCACAGGTGGATGACGACAGCATCGACGATCTTGGAGAGGTCAAAAAGTGAAGCCCAATATGCATTTACTGAAACGGATGCGACGTGACACAGCAAACCTGGCCAAATGTACACATTGACATAAAGCCCTTTTATATCTATTTTATTTACTGTATAGAATTTCCGTGGACATGGCTTCATCCTTGGGGTTTTTCAGTTCTTGATAGCTGCTTTGTGTTTTGGTTGCCAAAGGTCTGGAATGATGTGGCTTAAAAGCATTTCACACATGCAAACAATAGACTAATAAATTTCAGTCTCATTCAAAACGCATTTGTTGTGTATTGTTTCTTTTATCACTGCCTCCGATGCAACACTGTAGCCTTTAGTTAATGATTTACAGATGCATTTTGAAAGGGTAATATCTCAAAAAGCAAATCATTTATTCACCCTCATATCGCTCCAAACCCATGAATCTTTTATTTCTTCTGCAAAACACAAAAAGATAATTTAATGAATATCCATTTGGGTGAATTCAATACCATGTCAGTGCAATTTTGTCTTACAATTTTGAATTACTTTAAAGTTTCATTAAGCACCAAAATTGTCAGCAGAATTATCCATGTGGCTCTTAAGTGCTCCATTCCGTTTTGGTGAAAATCTACCTATTGATACCTATGAAAATCTGCATATTGATTCTATGCCGCAAACTTGAAATATTTCACATACTTTTGAGAATCCAGTGTTTAGTTGATCCTGATAAGCGCTCGTCGTCACAGTTGTAAACACGACGGCTTTCTTCTTTCGTGAGGGGGTTTGGCGCCACCGCATCTTTGTTTCCAGTTAAAGAACACAACACACGTCTCCCGGAAATCCTGTATAATTCAACCAATCCGATGACGACTTTGAAACTCCTGAAGTGTTTCCACTTTTGTGTGCCGTATGCATCAGACGTTCAGCCAATGGGCTGTGGGTGTAACGTCTAATTGACACCATACTACAATAAAATCCCTCTCCCATGCTTCAGTCCTTACTCCAGTCCAGTAGGTGTTGGAAATGCATCTTTTATGTTTGCTGTCTGCCATTAAAATGTCAGAAATGTTTTTTTCTACGTATGTATTTCTACAAAAATTTATTTATTCAAAAGTTAAAATGCATCCAGAATCAAAGTTCTAACACACTCAAAATCTGCACACATACAGTATCTCACAGAAGTGAGTACACCCCTCACATTTTTAAAAATATTTTATTATATATTTTCATGTGACAACACTGAAGAAATGACACTTTGCTACAATGTAAAGTAGTGAGTGTACAGCTTGTATAACAGT